AGATTTGCACTTTAGTGTTGGCTGATGCACTGGTGTGACCGTTTTGACGGTGGTGGTGCTGGTGACCATGATCGCCTCTGGACAGCCTTTGTGAGTCCTCAGAGTGATGGTCATCAGCAGAGTCGTCAGAGTCGCTGGTGCTGCTGGTAGCAACTTCATATGCGTCAACATTATCATCACCCTCATGACCATTATCATGACTGGCTGGCTTATGGTTAGCATTATCGTTAAGAGCAGACGACGAATGGCTAGGGAAGGCAGTGGAAGGAGAAGAAGAGGAAGTGGAAGAAGTTCGAGACGTAGTGGCCACCTCCACCTGCTGTTGAGCACTGCCGAGCTGCACTGCGCTAGTGCTCATGGTCGTGGTGGTAATGTTCTCAAAGGTGATCGTGTTCGACTGAAGACACATTTTGGTAGTGGAATTAATTGACGAAAAGTGAGTGAGTGAAATAAGTTAGAGGAGGGTTAAAAGAGAGAGGAGTGAGTAAAGAAGAGGTGAGTTTGAATGAAGAATCGGGTGAATGGGTGAGTGAGTGTCAAGAGGATGAAATCAGGAAAATCAGTGAAAAAGCAAAGAAGAGGAAAAATTAAATAAATTAATNGAGGGTTAAAAGAGAGAGGAGTGAGTAAAGAAGAGGTGAGTTTGAATGAAGAATCGGGTGAATGGGTGAGTGAGTGTCAAGAGGATGAAATCAGGAAAATCAGTGAAAAAGCAAAGAAGAGGAAAAATTAAATAAATTAATGATTGAAATGAAAAATTAAAAAGTTAGCAAAATTAAAAGTGAAAATTAAGGAGCCACGTTTGGAGCATCAGCTTCGTAGAAAAAAACAAATTTCTTGAACTCCATTTTACCGTCAACATATCTACAAATACTCTCTCACACCCTCTCACTCAATCAAATCACTTTCTCGCATTTGTACTTACAAATTCCCTCAGCTTGGACTCGTCGTCCTGCAGCTGATTGAGCAGCGCCAGCAACCGATCCAGTGTCGCCTTGTACTCCTCATTAAGGGCCTTCAGCTCTACGGCCACTGTCTCGACGCCGTTGACCACCTTGGAGCGCTTGGCGGAGGCGTCCAGGCTCGGGTGAGCCTGCTCGGCCACCGTCTCGCGGTAGTTCTTCAGCTTCAGGTCGTAAATCTTCGCCTCCTTGCTGAAACGGTTGCCCGCCGAGTTCGTCTCCTCGATGGAGCTCTTGTGCGAGGAGACGTCTTCGTACAGTTGCTGAGGTGAAAGGAAAAAATGAATCCTTTAACTTTCTAGAACACCAAAACAATCCAATTACCTTAGCGGTACTCAACTCCCGTCGGCGGAAGACCTCCTCGAGGCGAGAGCGCGTCTGCTTGAACCAGCTGCCCTCCTTGTCCATTCGGCTGCGGTAGGCCTTCAGCAGGTCGTGACAGTTCTCCAGCGACTTGATGCTATGATGGTGGTAATGAAAGCAAAATTATTCATTTAAAATCACCAAAAAATTCTTCCCTCCCTTACCGATCAGCAATCTGAACGCCAATGTTGTCCCAGCGCTTGTGCAGCGCTTTCACCTCCTCCTCGAGGCGGTCAATGTCCGCATTGGAGGACTGCTGCAGCCGACTGCGCTCTACCAGGCGGCGAACCTTGCTCACATTGGAGAGCAGTTTGTCAAAGCTGGCCGAGTGGCGTTGCACCTCGCCGTGAATGCTCTTCAGCTCCTCAAAGATGGCCCTAGCTTGTTCCAGCTCTGCGGGCATGTCCGCCGCCCGACTCAGCTTAATCTCGTAGCCGGCAATCAGGCGGTGGGCGTCGTCAATGTCCCGGAGGACAATCTCCAGCGCCTTCAGTCGCTCGATGTACACGTTGGAACTGCTCCAGATCTTGTTCCAGCAGTCAATGAGGGCCTCGTACTTTGGCTGCGTCACCGGCGACTTGGGCAGTTTGGCGTACTCAGCCTTGGCCTTCTCCACCGCCGGCTCATAGCGGCGCGTGTCCACCTCAAAGTCCTTGTGCTCGAGGACCATGGTCTTGATCTGGTCGACCTTGCGTGGAATGGGTTCCTGCAGCTTCTTGCTAATCAGCCGCTCCTTCTCCTGCAGTTTCGCCAGCAGACCGCTGATGCTGTCCACAAAGGCGTCCAGGAGCTTCTGGAGGGCGACGGCGTCTGACTCGGCTTTGCGCCGGGCCTCGTACTCGGCAAACTGCCGCTTCAGGTCGGCAAACTCGTCCAGCAGTTGTTGTGACTTGCGGTCGCCTGGTGCACTCTCACTGACCACCTTGTCAATGTCGTTGGAGAGGGCGGAGAGGATGGCCTCTCGCTGGGCGGGGTCCTTGCTGCAGTACGTCGGGTAGTCCCAGCTCTTCAGACTGCGAATGGTGGCGAGCAGCATGTTCTGGCGGAGTTCGTGGTGCTTCGCCGCCCACAGGCTGATCAGCTCCTCGTGGAGGCGCTTCAGCTCGGCGGCCAGGCTGATCGACTCCTGGTCGGGCGGTGGAATGGAGAAGCAGAGGTTCGTGGCGGTGTAGTCCTCGCCACCCCTGGTTGCGACCTTCCACCCAAAGGCGTCCGAGTTGTCGCGCACCGTCAGCTGCTCGCCTTTAGAGAGCTTCAAACTCTGACCGGAAATGCTCACCAACGAAACGGCCCGACCACCCACTGCGGCGCTGCTCGTTCGAAGCTTCAGCGGCAGGACGCTCTTACTGCGTGACTCCAGCTCGGCGACCGTCGCTCGACGCCGGTTGATCTCCTCCTTGAGGGCGAGCATCTCCCGATTGAGGCGGTCGCCCTCCTCGAAGGTGATGCTCTGCACACTGAAGGTGCTGTTCAGCGATTGGGCCGCCTTCTCCAGCCATCCTCGCACTTCGGCCACCTCCTTGTGGAAGCGGTGGTACTCCGCCGCCCCTCGCTTGTGCTCATCCAGGCTGTTGAACTGTTCCACCAGGAGCTTCTTCCTGAAGAGCAGACCGGAAACGGCCGAGTCGATCACCTCGCGGGCAGGGTGCTCCCCGCGAAGCAGGCGCTCCGCCCGGCTGACAATCGCCTCCTGGCGGTGCTCGTGCGACTGAATCTCGTAGTAGAGCTTCCGGTGGTCCTCCTCCACGGCGGCCAGGTTGAAGGGCGGCTCGGTGGTGGACCAGTTGCGGAGCACCTCCGCCGAGATGACGTCCTCCGTCCACTT